TTTACACACCGCACCAGGTACTCATTTAAGGCTGAGTCGACCTAGGGGAGGCCCAGGACCGGTTCAGATAATCGTCACTGGTGTTAGCCGTGAGCGGGAATCGAACCCGGGTCGCCAGGTTCATAGCGCAGCGCGCTAACCGCTACACTACCGCTCCCCACATAACACACACACACACACAGACACACCACTCACATAACACACACACACCACATACACCACACACACACCACACACACCACATACACCACACACCACACACACCCAGACACACCACTCACACACCATTCACAGACCACACATCACACAACCCACAGGCAAGCACACAACCACCACCCGATGATTCAAACGACGAACTCGACCGGAGGATTCACCGCGAGGAAGGGTCGTGGCGATGGGCGAAGAGACCCCCCGCCCCCCCCCCCCCCACGTCGCCCCCCTGCCGTGATGAATGAAAATCACCTTTTAGAAACACACACAAAAGACAAAGATCCCCCGTATAGCATTACCACACTTTCGCGGCAAGTGCTGTTCGCGAGAATCTTTTGAAAAGGCTGGCGGCACCTTGCACACGAGGGGGTGGGTGGCCAGCACCACGCTCGGCCGCCTTTGTCTCCCCAGTGGCGATGTTTACACACCGCACCAGGTACTCGTTTGAGGCTGAGTCGACCTAGGGACGGCCCAGGACCGGTTCAGATAATCGTCACCGGTGTTGGCCGTGAGCGGAAATCGAACCCGGGTCGCCGGGTTTATAGCGCAGCGCGCTAACCGCTACACTACCGCTCCCCACACACAGTACAAACACACAGTACACACACAACACACACACAGTACACACACGCACATAGTACACACACACAGTACATACACACAGTACACACACACGCACATAGTATACACACACAGTACATACACACAGTACATACACACCGTATACACACACAGTACACACACACAGTACACACACGCACATAGTACACACGCAACACACACACACAGTACACACAGAGTACATACACAGTACTCACACACAGTACACTCACATAGTATACACACACGCACATAGTACACACACAGTGCACACACACAGTACACACACACACAGTACACACACAGTACACACACACAGTACACACACAGTACACTCACATAGTATACACACACGCACATAGTACACACACAGTACACACAGTACACACACACAGTACACACAGTACACACACACAGTACACACGCACACACACACAGTACACACACAGTACACACACATAGTACACACACGCGACATACACACGCGCAGACCAGAGTGGCGGTGCCGTGAGAGGGGGGGAGGTGAACGCAATGCTTATTCCGGGTGAGATATCGGCCCGCGTCGCGCTAAGGCACAAGACGGTGCGACGGACAAGAGACAGAGACAGAGCGGGGGGGAGGAGGAGGAGGAGGAGGGGGGAAGAAGAGAGATAAGGAGGAACAACACAGAGGCGAGATCAAACCCACGAGCCGAGAATACACGAAGCAACAAAAAAATGTGACGGCGTGGTTTCTTTTTTGTGTCGGGTAACACCGGCAGCTGCGGTTTGCGCTATCTTGGCCCATCACCTGTGCAGCGCGCTAATTGGATCCGCGAGCGAGGCGGTGCGAGCCACGGGGAGCGAGCGGATCGCGTTCATTACAGCGGAGATGAGACACGGGGAGAGAGAGAGACACGAGAGAGACGGAGAGACACAGGCGGGGAGAGACACAGACGGACGGGGAGAGACAAAGACGGGGAGAGACAAAGACGGAGAGAGACAAAGACGGGGAGACAAAGACGGACGGGGAGACAAAGACGGACGGGGAGAGACAAAGACGGGGAGAGACAAAGACGGAAAGAGACAAAGACGGGCGGGGAGACAAAGATGGGGAGAGACAAAGACGGAGAGAGACAAAGACGGACGGGGAGAGACAAAGACGGACGGAGACATAGACGGAGAGAGACAAAGACGGGGAGAGACAAAGACGAGAGAGACAAAGACGGAGAGAGACAAAGACGGGGAGAGACAAAGACGGGGAGAGACAAAGACGGACGGGGAGACAAAGACGGAGAGAGACAAAGACGGAGAGAGACAAAGACGAGAGAGACACAGACGGAGAGAGACAAAGACGGGGAGAGACAAAGACGAGAGAGACACAGATGGAGAGAGACAAAGACGGGGAGAGACAAAGACGGACGGGGAGAGACAAAGACGGAGAGAGACAAAGACGGGGAGAGACAAAGACGGGGAGAGACAAAGACGGGGAGACAAAGACGGGGAGACAAAGACGGAGAGAGACAAAGACGGGGAGACAAAGACGGAGAGAGACAGAGACGGGGAGACAAAGACGGACGTTGGCAGCAGTGGTGCTTAAATCTTTGCTGCAACCCTCAATCCCTTTGGTTCTCAATCCTCAAACAAATGTACAATGTTAACAAACACACACACGGGGACTTGATGAAACAAAGTAGTTGGCACTTACGTGCCCGTGCTTGATTTGTTTTTCGATGATTTACCTTCTAAATTAAAAGTGAGAAAGGGCATCTCGCACCCAACAGGGGGTCCGTGCCCCCCAGGTAAAGGGCCACTGTTGATCAGCGACAGCTGGAGACGCAGGCAGACACACGCATTCGTGTATCTCTCTATCTCTGCGTGTCTCTCTGCGTGTCCGTCACTCCGTGTCTCTGTCTCGGCGCTACGTATCCGGCGGCCAGAGTTTCGATTATCTGAACCGGTCCAGGGCATCCTCGAGGTCGACTCAGCCTCACATAAGTACAGTACCTGGTTCGGTGCGTAAGGGTCGCAATTGGAGAGGCATGCATTCATAGGTGCTCTCTAACAGCACTTGCTCCCAATAGTGTATGAAGGCTATACGGGGGATCTTTACATGTTGTGTATGTATGTGGAACTCATTTCGCACCGTACGTAACCAATCGTGCTAATCGGAGGTGCGGGAGAAGGATAGCGAACTAAAGACACGAAAACATTGCTCTAAAGAAATGGGGTTTTCAATCTCGAATTAAAAGTGCTTCGCTGCGGTGGCTTTCCAATATCGGAAGCGCATCTGAAAGCGCCACGCGATGCGGTGACCGCCGTCTTTGCTTGACGGCCGCTGCTGCTGCTGCGATGAGCGGAGTTGGCGTGGTGATGGTTCATGCGCCTTCACGAGATCAGCACAGGTATTATGGTTCATTCGTGGCAAGCACCTTGTGTGTTTATGAGCGGATTTTATACGTCCTGTTCTCAATTGGTGTCCTCCGGGTTCCCCGTTACCCCCCCCCATACCTACAAAAACACACAAAGACAAAGACACCCCGATAGCCTTTATATACTGTTGGGGCAAGTGCTGTTAGCGAGTATATATGAAGGCCGACACGGCACGTGAGTGGTTGGGTGGCCAGCACCACGCCCGGCCGCCCTTGTCTCTCCAGTGACGATGTTTACACACCGCACCAGGTACTCATTTGAGTCTGAGTCGACCTTGGGAAGGCCCAGGTCCGGTTCAGATAGTCGTCACTGGTGGTGGCCGTGAGCGATAATCGTAGCGCAGCGCGTTAACCGCTACACGACCCCCCCCACACACACGCAGCGTAACTGGGATTAGTCAACACCACTCCCAATGCCGAACAACCCCCCATGCAGATCACTCCACTGCAACCCCGCCGATACCAATACCCGCGATTCGCCACGAAGCGACCCCGATGTGACCACGGCGTCTGTGCGGGGCCAGGTGGACTTCGAGGCCCACGCGAAGCGTCGAAGGCTCGCTGCTGGCAGGAGGTCACGGGGACCAGACCCAGGTGGTGCCACGGGTTGAGTGGCTGAGATGACCGGCAGATGCACCATCGGCTGTGCCACGCGGGATCTCACGCAGCAAGCTTTACGTAGCAGTCAGCAGCAACATCGTCCCCCTAGTGCGACCAACTTGGACAGGAGCCTCGTGAACACGGCGTCTTGAGACTCGGTGAGGCTTTCCTTTGTAGACAAACGTGACATTTATATTCTTAGGTTTTTTCGGTAAAGTCACGTAGGTAAAAAATGTAAATTAATAAAAGTAAAATAAAAATCACGACAAGCTTGTGTTGCCTCCGAAACGTCGTGATTTTTATTTTATTTTTATTTAACTTTTATTTATTTAAAAATTTTACCTACGTGACTTTACCGAAAAAACCTAAGAATATGAATCCTTGCAGTCACGAAAGCTTCAAATCTAGAAACGTGACATTAAACGGGCGCGTGGTGGGGGGGGGGGGGCCCTGGTTTTCGTGGGGGAGGGGGGTGTCTGTGAAAAGTGCGTCCCCTAGCGTAAGTTTTGCCGCGATTCGGTGAGATATAACGATACGCTGCGGCTTTTTTTGCGTGCCATGAAGAAGGGTCATTGTCCGAAACGTCGTCTATCGTATGAAGTAACTTTCAAGGGCCACGCACACGGAGCTGTTGTTGACGAATGAGTTTTTTTTTTTGTCATTGTCGGTGCAGCAGCAGCAGCATCACAGAATAATTCACAATATATACCGCGTACGAGATATGGATATATCGCACGCGATAAATACCGTGCGATATAAGCGCTAGATTTCCGAACGGACAATTTTTTATTTTATTTTAGAGCAATGTTACGCTTGCGTAACGACGTCCGATTCGTTGTGTTTGTAGGATCACGGCGAAAGTTAGCGAGCCGTGGAACTTTGATTTAAAGCTTTCGTGACTGCACAAGCAATCATCATCAGGTGTGGATTTCACACCTGATGATGATTGCTTGTGTTGCAGTCGAAACGTCGTGAGAATTTTTATTGTTTTATATTTATATTATTTTTTATTTAATAATTTCCCTTCTACGTGACTTAACCGAAAGAATCAAGAATATGAGCCGTGGAACGTTGGGCGGGGGGGTGGGGGTGGTGGTGAGGGGGCTGAGTGCGCGCGTGACTGACCCGCGTGCGCGCGCGTGACGTGGCCCACGTGCACGCGCGCGCCGTGACCCACGTGCTAAATCCGTTACAGCCGCGGCGGCCGCAGCATCGGTTTGTTTTCTGTGCGCCTTCAAAAACTAACGAGAGAAATTAAGTAAACGCCATACATTTATATAGAAGTAAATGTAATTCTCAAACTACTATTTTGGGGCGTGGAGGTTTGCTTGTCGAGGAAGTGTATTGTCTTCAATATCGAGGAAACGCGTAATTATAATCCGTGGATTATTATTTAGTTTACTTTCCGATTTATGCATTTACTGGTCGACGAACTTTCTTGATTAAGAGACCGCTGCGGGGCAGGAATCTGGCCAGCGTTCGAACGACAAGAATCCAATCGGCGGTGAGGCACTCCTTTAGCCGAGTTCTCAACCGCAAGCCTCTCGCGATGAACACCAGCGCCATGGACGACATTCACTCCCTCGAGTGCGTCCGCTCGAAGATCAAGACCTTGCAATGCCAGGCGAAGAGTGCCGAGGAGCGGGCAGCCTGCCTCAACAGCGATCTCTACTCGGAGAAGCAGGCCCGCGAAGAGGTGAGAGAGCCCCTGACAACCATCATCCCCAACATTGACAACAGCTGACCTACAAATTGACCTCCGTCACGCCGATCAGGGCCCCCGACTCGAACATAGACGCCAACTCTTGATGCTCAACTCCGCGTTAGGACCAACGGTCACCACTTTAACCCCGACTCGAACCCACACCCCGACTCTTGATAGATATCAACTTGCGCGCCTCGCCAAAAGGGGCCCTGACCTCCTCGTCCTTGACCACGCTGATTAAACCACGCTGACCACCCTAACTCGAACGCTCTCCACGTTGAGTTCCCCGAGCGCCCATCTGGGAACCCTGTCAAAGGCCGCTCAGAGGCTTCGTTAGGAGCTGCCGCGCACTGCGGGACTTGTGTTAAACCACCGGCATAGGCTGGGCGAGGCGTTTATTTAGCCTCGACGGACGGACGGAGGAGGATGGGGAGGAGGAGGAAATCGCACAACGAGCCGAGGCAAGGACAAAATCAACTCGGGGGGAAAAACCAAGAAACACAAAAATACAAACGAGACGGTGGCGGTGGAGAAGAGAGATTGCAAAGCAAAAAAAAAATTACATGATTCTATGATCAAAATGTACTCGAGCGGAATCGTTAATATGGTGTGGGGGGTGGGGGAGATGGTGGAGTTGGGATATTTGGTGGGGGAGGGGGGCGTGTGGGGGAGGGGGGGAAATGGGGGGGGGGGGCATAACCTTGACCCGGGTTCTCTCCACCCCCATGAATGTATTCATGCCTATACGTTAAGCACGATGTTCGGCACGGTTGGCTACGTACGGTGCGAAAGAAGTTCAACATACAACACAACGTACATAAGTGCATGCATCTTGTATGCGTGACGCACGTTGTTTGAATGTGCGCATGTCACATTCGTAACCTACGTCGTTTGCATGTACGCACCTCGCATGCGCGTGTCCATGACGCATGTGTACGATTTAGCACGGTCGGCTACGTGCGGTGCGAGTGAAGTTGAGCACACACAGACGTGTCCTTTGCATGTGCTCGTGTCGCACGCGTGACGCCTGCCGCCGTTTGCGCGTGTCCGTGACGCAGGCGGAGAGCCGCGTGGCGTGCATGGGCAAGCAGGTGCACGTGACACGGGCAGAGCTGAGCCGGGCCGAGCAGGACCTACACTCGGTGCTGGATCAGCTCAACGACGCCGAGCACGTGGCCTGCGAGTACAAGAAGTGAGTGGGGGGGGGGGGCAGAAGGCGCGCGCGTAGCGGCAGCAGAGAGAACACGCGCGGACACACGCAGAGGCATAGGCACGCGCGCACGGCAGAGATACAGGCGGACAGATGCACAGACATAGACACGCACAGAGGGACACGCAGAGATGCAGGCGCACAGACATAGACACGCACTCTCAGAGACACAGACGTGCACAGAGACGTAGGCACAAGGAGACGCGCAGACAGACACGCAGAGCGACACGCAAAGACACAGAAACAGACACACAGTGACGCAGACATAGCTAGCCCTCCGCGCAGTGTGCCGTGCCAGGCCTTCACAGGTGCTGCTCGCTACAGGCACTTGCCCCACAGGACCGTTAAAGGCTATAGGGGAATCTTTGTCTTTGTCTAATGCCTCCCCCCCCCTCCTAACCAAGGGCAATGTGTGACCTGGAAGACCGCGTGCTCTGCGGGGAGCAGACCATCGATGAGCAGTGCATGCAGCTGAAGCGAGCTCGGGAGATGCTCACGGAGACCGAGTGCCAATTCAAGGAGGTGCGAGACGGCCGCACAAAGACAACGATCACCCGCGTAGCTTCGGGCTTAGAGCCGCAGATATACACACACACACCCGGCACACTACACACACACACTGCACACTACACAGTCACACCACACACACGCCACACGGTCACACACACCACACACACACACCACACACACGCCACACGGTCACACACACCACACACACACACCACACACACACCGAACACTACACACACCACACAGACCGAACACTACACACACCACACCGTCACACACACACCGCACACTACACACACCACACGGTCACACACACACAGTCACACACACACCGCACACACACACCGCACACTACACACCCCACACGCCACACAGTCACACACACACCGCACACACACACCGCACACTACACACCCCACACGCCACACAGTCACACACACACCGCACACACACACCACACACTACACACACCACACGGTCACACACACAGTCACACACACACCGCACACACACACCACACACTACACACACCACACGCCACACAGTCACACACACACCGCACACACACGCCATTCACTACACACACCACACGCGTTCCTCCCGCGCGTTCTCTGGTTGTCACCGCTGTGTGTTGTTCGGCACGATGTCCGACGTTTCGTCGAGCAATACGCGGCCTCAACCCGCGATTGTTTTATGGGGAGCGGTAGTGCAGCGGTTGCCGCGTTGCGGTGTTCTACACCGGCGACGATGATCTGCACCGGCCCTCCCCTAGGTCAGCTCAGCCTCAATACGAGTGTGCCTGGCGCGGTGGGTCAAGATCGCGCGTACGTCAGAGGGTGCTTCGCTCGCAGCACTTGCCCCAGAGATCTGTCGAGGCTGTAACACGAGGGGGGGTGGGGGTGGGGGGGGTGATCTTTGTCTTCGCTGTAGGCCAACAGAGTGCTGCGGATTCTGGAAGGCGACCTCATCAAGTCGGAGGAGCGCGCATGCTGCTCCGAGCAGTGAGTCTCCCGCGAGCCGCCGCCGCTGCCGCGTCTTCCTGCTCCTGCACCCCTCACGTGCCCTGTGGGGAGGGGGTGGAGGGGCGGTGCAGGGGTGGGGAGGGTGGAGGGGTGGGGGTGGAGGGGAGTGTAGAGGTGGAGGGGGTGTGGGAGTGGAGGGGAGTGTGGAGGGGAGGCGGTGGAGGGGAGGGGGTGGAGGGGAGGGGGTAGAGGGGAGGGGGTAGAGGGGAGGGGGTAGAGGGGAGGGGGTAGAGGGGAGGGGGTGGAGGGGAGGGGGTGGAGGGGAGGGGGTGGAGGGGAAGGGGGTGTGGGGGTGGAGGGGAGGGGGTTGTGGGGGTGGAGGGGAGGGGGGTAGAGGGGGTGGAGGGGGAGTGGGAGGGGAGGGGGTGTGGGGGTGGAGGGGAGGGGGGTGGAGGGAGTGGGAGTGAGAGAGAGAGAGCGACAGAGTCAAAAGTGCGGACACATGGGTCAGGCTGAGAGACAAACACGTGGAGAGAGATCGCACGGCACCGGCTTGGAGAGACAGACGCAGAAGCAAAGAGACGTAGAGACTTGTGACTTTAAACGACTTTTATTGCCGCCAGCAGCAACAGCACTGTAGGCGATCCCGATATGAAATACGCAGTCACCAGCAAACAAATAAACGCTACAAATTCACGCGCTGTGGCGCTATATGCACCGCGCACAACACGAAAGAAAAGTCACATGGTGGTGGTGGTTGTCATCGCGCACGCCACGGTGACGAGCGAGCGCTTCAGAAGGTGAACACCACGAGGTGCCGTCCACGCTGCTGCAGAGAGGGGCTTGTCCGTCTCCCCAGCGTTCGAAGAAGACGCGCTGCACATCACCGACACGTGTGTGGTACGCGTGCTCCAGCCGGAGCCGCGTCTTCAGCAGGCCCCTGAACACTGGAATTACAGAGTAGAGAGGGAGAGAGACCGAGAGAGAGCGAGAATCATGGGAACAAGGGGGACGTGTACACGTGCCCACGCCCGCGTGTGTGTGTACGCGTGTGTGTACGCGTGTGTGTGTACGCGTGTGTGTACGCGTGTGTGTACGCGTGTGCGTGTACGCGTGTGTGTGTACGTGTGTGTGTACGCGTGTGCGTGTACGCGTGTGCGTGCGCGCGTGTGTGTACGCGTGTGTGTACGCGTGTGTGTGCGCGTGTGTGTGTACGCGTAATGTGTGTACGTGTGTGTGTACGCGTGTGCGTGTACGCGTGTGTGTACGCGTGTGTGTGTGCGCGTCTGTGCAGGGGCGTGGTGCAGCTGGAGAAGAAGCTGAAGAAGCTGAAGGAGGAGCTGCTGCTCATGTTCCGCAACGAGGAGATGGTAGTGGCGCGCGAGAGGAGACGTGTGCTCCCACACGGGGACACGTCTCACACTCACACTCGAGTGCACGTGTACCCACACGCGTGTACTCCCATCCGTGTACTCCCACCCGTGTACTCTCAAGCGTGCACTCCGACACGCACACTCGCACGCGTGGACGTGTTTATGCTCTCATACAAACGAGTACGCGTGTACTCCCACGTGTGTACTCCCACGTGTGTACTGTGACACGTGTACCCCCACGCGTGTACTCTCACACGTGTACCCCCACCCGTGTACCCCCACGCGTGTACTCTCAAGTGTGCACTCCGACACACGCACTCGCACGCGTAGACGTGTTTGTGCTCTCACACAGACGAGTACACATGTACCCCCACGCGTGTACTCCCACGTGTGTACTCTGACATGTGTACTCTGACACGTGTGTACTCTGACACGTGTGCTCTGACACGTGCACTCCTGCGTGCACACACGCGTGTACTCTGACGCATGTACTCCCACACGCGTACTCTGACACGTGTTACTCACGCACCTCGTGTACTCTCTGCACCCCCCCCGCCCACTGCCCCCACCCCCCGCGTCAGCTGCTGCACTCGGAGAAGATGTACGAGAAGGAGATGGCGAGCCAGATGGAGCGGCTGCACGACGTGAGTGCGCGCCCTCGTGATCACCCGAGATTCGCGTGCTCTTGCGAGTGCCCGTGTACTCGCCAATACGCGTGAGTACACGCGTACACGTGTACTTACACGTGTACGCGTGTACTCACGCGTACGCCGCCGTCTCCGTCGCACTGGTCACTCGCTGGCCCAAATTGACGCGCGCCGAACCCGACCTGCGATGACCTTTTTGTTTGCTTAACTGACCTAGCATGAACAATTTCTTATTGTAGCACGCCAGGCCCAATGGGCCACGTAGTTTATTTTATTAAGAAGCGACCTGTCCACAAATGATAGCTCAGCGAAGTGGCCTTATCATCGCGTGGAAATTCACCGCCACGGCGAGCACACGCAGAGCTCCAAATATTCCAGAAGGCGTTCAGGGTCGGTATCGAACCCACGATCTCCTGTAGACCAGGCGAGGTCGTTAACATCTCGCTACCGTGGCGACACGTGTGCTACGTGTGACACGTGTCGTCATCCCCTCCCTCCCCCCGGCAGATGGAGGTGCGTGCGGAGTGCGCGGAGAAGCACACGCGCAAGCTGGAGAAGGTGGTGCACCAGCTGGAGGGTGAGCACACGCATCGCGTGCCCACCGGAATAGTCGCTCGCTCGCGTACTCGGGCTGCCAATGGATAGCGCTCGCACCGGAGTACCCGCTCGTTTAGTCGCTCGCAATGTTCAGATGTCCGATCCGCGTGTGCACCTTTAGAATACACACGGAAGACTAATATCCCCCCGTGTAGCCTTAACAGACTTGTCGGCGCCAAGTTGTGTTGGCGAGCACGGATGAAGGCCGGCACGGTACACGAGGGGGTGGGTGGCCAGTCCTAGCGCGACCGCCTTTGTCTACCCAGTGGCGATGTTTGCACACCGCGACAGGTCCTTATTTGTGGCTGAGTCGACCTAGGGGAGGCCCAGGACCGTTTCAAATAATCGTCACTGGTGGTGGCCGTGAGCGGGATTCGAATTTGGGTGGTCGGGTTCGTAGCGCGGCGCGCTCACCGTTGCACCACAACGCAAAGTTACAAAGGTCCCCCGATCAGCCTTCACAGACTGTTGGGGCAAGGGTTAGCGAGCACAGATGCTGCTACACGTCCACAACGACATTCACACACACGCGCACACTTCTCATCTCTCACTCACGCACTCACACACAACAGCAACAACACCACGACCGCCATTCGCCACCAAGTGACGGCGACGTCACCACGGCGCTCGTGCCAGGCTAAGTGCACTTAGCCTAAGTACCACTAAACCACGTGGGGAGAAAAAATCTCACTCCCGCACGCGCGCACACACACACACATTTACACCTCACCACACACAGATTCCACCACGCGCACAGCTGCAGTCCTGGCCACTTAAGAGTCACGTCTTCTGCGTCTGACCTCTTGACCCCCCCGCCCACCCCCCCGCCCCCCTCCTCTCCCGCAGACAAACTCTCCCAGGCTGAGTGCGTGAACGTCGACCTGGAGAGTGAGATGACGCACATCTTCTGCGAGCTCAAGCGATGCCTCTGAGCTTGGCGGCGGGGTCACCAGGGGGGGGGGGGGGGGGGTCACGTCCCACTGCCATGACCCCCAACCCCCCGATATTAGCAGAAGTCGCGCGTGCCATTGCTGTTCACGACACGCGCGCTAATGGTGAGATAATTAAAAGTTCCCGTCGGTAAGATGGAGTTTGCTTGCCCCGCCCGCGTCGCTGTGAATGTGTTCACACAATTGTTACACTGGCACGCGCCATCACCAGATGCCCCGCTCTACTGCCCCGTTCAACTGCCTGCCCGTTCAACTGCCCTGTTCGACTGCTCCGCTCAACTGCCCTGTTCGACTGCCCTGTTCAACTGCCCGTTCGACTGCCCCGTTCAACTGCCCCGCTCAACTGCCAACGCGTCAGAGCGCCGCAGTGGCGAGATGTTTACTACCTCGCCTGCTGTGCACGAGGCCGCGGGTTCGATCCCGACCCCCCTGACGTGTGTACATTTGGAGTCTGCTTCTTTATCTTTCTCTCTGTCGTCCGTGGTCGTGGGGATTTATCTCCCGAATCCCTCGGGGTTTTTCCTTCCACATTTAGTAGTCGACGCGCGCGTTGAAAGTATTTGGCTGCTATAAATTCCCACGCGATAAGCCAACTTCGTGTGAGAGTACACGTGTCGTTTGTGACAGCCCCCAGGTCCGCTTCCCAAAAAGAAGCCGTAATCGCTCAGTGGGCCCTGACCTGGTAAAAAAAAAAATAGTTTCGTTTTAAATATTCTAGCCAGTAGTTGTAAGTAGTTCGGGGTATCACGTCAGTAATCCAGCACGGTGGAGGCGGCCAGTTGTTGGTGGATCACCGCACGAACAGACAACTCCCTTCCCCGTGGGGGCGTCACGAGAAAGCTGATTTGTAGCACAAAAAAGAAGACAATATCACAATCTTTTCCACCTGTACAGGGATGGAGCATTCATTGCCTTCATCGCATCGCCATCCTCCCGCGTGTACACACATGGTCACGAGTCAGCCGATGACGCCTTCCTTTGCAGAGTGAGATCATTGAGTGGCGTTACTGGAGATGGTGGCGTGCAGGGGAAGAGAAAAAAGGAGGTGGTAATTGGCTCCGCGCGTTAGTTGCTTGCAAAGTTTTACTGAGGATCAACCGAGGGTCTGACCTGACGGTAATAATCATTGACACGCCGGGATGCCATTGCCTTGTCCCTGTTGCACGGGCGACCTGGGTTAGGCGGAGACAATCAGGGCACAAAGCTGACTAAACCCCACTGTGAACTGAGCAAGCACTGACTGCCGTAACAACGACGACAACAGGAACAATAATAATAATTGGACACAGACTAAAACGTCGGACGACAATATTCCGCTCGAGTTTGGCGAGCGCGCCACGCAGTCACGCGCGCGACACGAACGCTCGTGACGATACACAGCGGAATTATTTTTTAGTTTGGCCGGGAACTTCATCTCAGCTGCTGGAGCTGTCCGGGGTTGAACTCAGGAAAAATATTTATTTATCCCTGTTCTTGAGAAAGGGGGTGGGGGGGGGGGGGTACACGCACATGTGATGGTGATTGCGCGTGATTGAGATGAAAAGATAACGGCGTATTAGATGATGGTGATGGTGTATGGTGATGATATGATGTTGATGGATGTTGATTGATGTTGGTGCTAGATGATGATTATGATGGTGATGGATGGTGAAGATGATGGATAATGATGTTAGTGGATGATGATTATGATGATGGTGGATGGTGATGATTATGAATGATGATGGTAATGGATGATGATTATGATGATGGTGTATGATCGTGATGGATGATGATGGTAGTGGATGATAATAATGATGGTGCTGGATGGTGATGATGATGGATGATGTTAGTGGTGGATGGTAATGGTAATGGATGACTGATGGATAATGGTAATGGTTGATAATGATGGTGGATGATGATATCGATGGTGGTGGATGGTGATGATGGTAGATGATGCATGATGGTGGTGACAATGCATGACAATTGCACTTAATAAAGTTTGTTGGGTTAGATCGCGTAAGTATAAATGTGTTGAACCCTCCACCACCCAACAGCCAATTAGGAAGGGATTTGTCACGTAAACAAACGCCAATTAGTTACTATTCCAGTCCACCGGTGTGTTGGAGAGTAAATCCACAACATTTACAATTTACTCTCTAACACACCGGGGGGCTAAAGTAGTAAACTATTTGGCGTTTTGTTTACGTGACAAATCTCTTAATAACTGGCTGTGTCGGGTGGTGGAGGGTTACGACACATACTTACGCGATCTAACCCAAAAAAGCTTTATTACGAATAATATTGGTCGCGAAAGCTTTCGTGTTAAAATGACAATTGCGATTGTGGCAGCAGTTGTGATTGATGATAGATGATGGATGATGATGATGGTGGTGATGGACGATGATGGTGGTGATGGATGATGGTGGCGGAGACAATGACAGTGCTAATCATGACAATTGCATCTTGACTTAACGCTTTCGTGACTGCAGGAATTCATATTCTTTGGGTATTTAGGTAAAGTCACGTAGATAATTTCAAAGAAAATAACAAAAAACTACGACGTTTTGATCGCAACACAAGCGGTCGTCATCAGGAAAAGATGACGATCGAAACGTCGTAGTTTTTTGTTCTTCTCTTTGAACCTATCTACGTGACTTTACAGAAAGACCCAAAGAATATGACAATTGCGGTTGTGATGATGTTAGTACGATGGTGGTTGCTGCCGGTGGAAGTATTGGTGGAGAGTGGTGGCACAGTGGTTAGCGCACTGACCCGAGTTCATTTCCAGCTCACGTCTTCAGTGGCGAATTTTTGACGCAGCCCTGGACCTCTGCTAGGTCGACTTAGCCTTACAACGAATACCCTGGCGCAGCGTGTAAATAGTGAATGAGCGATAAAGAACGGTCGGGCAGTGGTGCTGGCCACCCACCACCGTATCGTGTGCCGTGCCGGCCTTAATAGGTGCTCGCTAACAACACTCGCCCCAACATCCTTGTTCAAGGCTACCAGGTGGAGGGTGTGTGCGTGTGTGTGTGTGTGTGAGAGCGGTGGCGCAGTGGTTCGATCGATGCGCAGTCGGCAGGATAACATCAGTGTCAAGTGGTGAGTGAACCTATTCCGGATATCCTGCTCGACTCGGCTTCTCAATCGAGCACTGAATCCTCCGTTCGTTACAGCTCGCGTCAGAGCCGATGGAAGTGGTGGGGGGGGGGAGAGGCCAATTAAGGAGACAAAGGCGGCTGGGCGCGATGCTGACCACACCGCGTGCCTGACCGATGCCAATATAAGCGTGCTTTTGTGTCACTTTGACGTGGGGATCGACCGGCGCTGACTGGCGCAGTGCCGCAACCACTGCGGCACCGCTCCGCTCCCCGGAACAGTACGAATGAAACGAAGGCCAAGGCGCAGCTCTGCAACGTCTTGCGCACGCCGCTGCTGGCGCAAGGGAGCTCTTGAGGACGCTTCTCCAGTCCAGAGGGTATCTTGGCATACTCTTTCCACGCTGTGAACAAAGAAGTGGGAGCATCAGTGGCGTCGTGGCGACATCATCGGCTCGGGGGATGCGGCAATGGGTCACGTGGGGCCCCGATGTTTGATTCTACGCGATGTGCGGACGCCGAAGCGTGACTGCCGGAGAAACTCCAGACAACCACGGAGAGAGAGAGACACACACGCAAGCTCCGAATATCGAGCAGGCGGTCATGGTCCGGATCGAATGTGCGACCACCTGTATACCAGGCGAAGTATACTCTTTGGTTCTTTCAGTAAAGCCACGTAGGTAGAAAATGAAACAAAATAAATCACGACGTTTCGGGCGCAACACAAGCGTCCGTCATCAGCTGGGAAAGCTTGGTCTGCCTCAGCAGCTGCCTCAACAGCAGACCATTTATTTTGTTTCATTTTATACCTACGTGACTTTACCGAAAGAACCAAGGAGTATGGATTCCTGCAGTCACGAAAGCTTAAAAAAAAATCAAAACCAGGCGAAGCAGTTCACGTCTCGCCACCGCGGCGCCAACATGGAAAGGACATCGGCGGGAGCGGCGCAGTGAGCGCTGCTCGCGGAGCCGAATCAGCAGCGGCGACTCGAGCGAGCATCGACCGGCGCGTTACGTGGCCCCCCCCCCGCCTCCTCCCCCCCCCCATCCCCACCTCAAACCCCCCGCAGAATCGTTGTTTTGGGGGTAGAGAAATCGCGGAGCCGAAAGGTCACGCACACCGATCGATGCCTCTCCCCGCGCTTCATCCCGGGCGGGCGGCAGCCCGGCGTGACCCTGGGCTGGGGTCACGGGGTCACGAGCAGCGAGGGTCGCCGCGGGGCACCAACACGGTGACCCACCAGCACCCCAACGCCAACGCCGATCACCCCCCCACCCCCCCCCCACCCACGCAAACCCCCCAATCCCCACACCTCTCCCCCCTCCGCCCACCTAGAAACCTTCCCCCAAGCAAGCGAAGCTCGCAATTAAGGGGAGGCTGGGGGGGGAGGGGGGGCATCGCCTCCGAATTAAATCTGAAGCGGCCCCGGATCCCTCGACTGCCGCTCACCCCGGGCCGCACGGCCACGCGGGGATGAATTCGCGGTCCAAGGGGAGCCGCGTGTGGCCACGTGCCCTCACCCCGCCCCCCCATCCCCCCCCACCCCCCTTCCCGGTGCACGCAATCATGAACCACCCCGTGGCGTTCAGCGATGTCCCTGATGGTCCCGACCATCACCCCCCCACCATCACCAACACTCACTCCCAACTTCACAGTGAGGACTTCAACCTGAACGCGATACGGGCCAAAGAGTTGTGATGTGCAGACTGAGTCACAAAGGTGACCACCACCACCACCAGCACCACCACCCATTTCACCACCCCCAGCACTATCTCCTCCATCCACTGCTACCGCCACCATTACCAGCACCACCATCTCCTCTGCCTCCAGAAGCACCACCTCCTCCACCTTCACTACAACCACCACCACCACCACCTCCTCCTCCACTACAATCACCACCTCCACCCCAACCACCACCTCCTCATCCACCACCATTACCACCACCACCACCTTCTCCACCACCACCGCCACCACCATCATCAGCAACAACAGCAGCAGCAGTGCGTGACGCGGCCAGTGAATTTGACCTCGACGGCACTTGTATAATTATTTGTGGCCCGTTCGATGTGGGT